ATTTTGATTTGAATTCGAAAAAGTTTTTAAGAATTTTTTAAAAATTTATACCAATCAAATATATTGTAAAAATTTTTTTCTCTGTTTTTTTCCATAAACCTTTTAATTTTGACGTTAAAAAACATTTCTGAAAAAAGAAATCTGGAGATAACAGGGCAATAGAAATCAGGCGCGGTAGTCGTTGCGCAAATAATATAGATACAACACAAAACTCTTTATTATAATAATACGCTTACATATTTCGGTTCATTTTTTAACCTTCTTTAGAGACATAAATCACTTTTATGTATACAATGTATGCATAATAACTACCTTGTCATAGTAAGCTTTTTCCACTACACAAAAATCCTATATCAGAATTAAACCCAAATAAATGTTAAAAAGATAAATCTCTGATATATTCTAAAAATTGTTCTTCTTTCTTTTTAACATTCATCTAAGTTTAATTCTGATATAGGATTTTTGTGTAGTGGAGGGAGGTTACTATGACAAGGTAGTTATTATGTATACATTGTATTTACAAAGGTGATTTATATGTCTCTAAAAAATGAACCGAAACATGTGTAATAAAAAGTTTTGTGTTATGTCTGTATATTATAATATTTGCGCAACGATTACTGCGCTTGATTTCTATTGCCCTGTTATCTCCAAATTTCTTTTAAATAGTAGATTGATTTATGATTTCTGAAAAAATAAGTTTTTACACAAGAAATTTGATATCTTTGAAATTCGAAAAATAATCATATCAATTTTTTTTTAAAAGCATTTTAAAGCATAGAAAGTGTACTTTAAAATGTTTATTTATCAAATTTTGTTTGATGATTTTATCAAAGTATACTTTCAATATACTTTTTTCAATATTTTTATTTCACTTTAAAGTGAAATAAAAACATTGAAAAAATATATTGAAAAATTAATTTTCAATTTTAATAATTTAGCAATAAAATATCATAGAGACAAAATTTAAATATTAGTTTGAAAAGCTTTATTTTCCTCATTAAAATAGGTACTCAATTAGATACTCAATTTTTTGTAAAATGCGAGAAAAACGCGAGTATTCCTGAATTTATGAACGAAAGCATATATAGTAAAATCTACATCAATATGGGCGAATTTTTCCTGTGTTAATGACAAGAAGAGGAAGACTTCCTTTCTAGTCAATAAATAAGAACACCGCTTTGTGTCATGAACACGTGGAGTCATTTCATAATATTATCGACCTTTCGTATTTAGAACTGCATGATGAGCAAGGAATTAATAATTTATACGTAACAAATATAATAATAATGTTCCATCAGATCAAATTAGTGCCATAAAATGTAATAAAATTGTACTAGTATAATTTTATATTTAACATAAAGTAATTAATCCTAAGTTGTATAAACACGGTTTGAATATATATTAAATATTGCGTCTACAAAGAAGGATATTTTTATTAATATAAAGTTAGTTTGTGGATATTATCTAATCTATCACAAATAACAATTAGTTAGTAGAAGGTAATAATTAGAATGTACCTCTATGTATTAGAAAAATTAATTAAAATAATTTAATATTGAATTAATTTTATATAAAAAAAGAAACATATAATATAAAGGATTTGAATATTATAAAACATTTATATTAGGAAATTGGAATATTTTTGGTACTAATAATAATATATAACGGCAAGAATAAGGTTTCATGAATTTCTAAATATGATATTAACAGAATCATTTTATTATGTTATCGATCTTCCATATTTAGAACGGCAATATACGCAGTAAACTAAGAATTTCTATGTATACATATAATAAATAAATGATTTTTTTAACGTAACAGATCTTTGTTACATTACACATATACTACGATCAAACAAATTATTGAATTTTAATGCTATTTAATATTTAAATTTTTTACATAATAAACTGTGGAAACTGTGGAAAATTCATGCAATTATCAAGCAACTTTTCTTGCTCCATAGATAAAACGACGTCTTGCAGTTAAGCGATGAGTTTCTTGCGGACATGATCGAATGGGACAACATGAGAAAATCAAGAGGGAAAACTCCAGACTGCTGAAGGCTCATTCCTTTGGTCTTCAACTAGGCACGTTTTTAAATCACGTTCATCGACCGCAGAGAAGTTTGACCTGGTTGTGGACAAAGGTACATAAGTCTCCCTTTTTCTTTAACTTTGTCTTTCTTTTAATATATGTAATTTATAATGTATTAAATTATCTGATTGGATTAATTCAATGTTTTCGAGCCATTTTCGAGGATTATAGATATATAATGAAAATTATCGCGATAGAATTCATCAGAATTCTTTGATTTCTATTGTTTACTTTTTGACATTTTAGCATTTTAATATTTTTGACAAGCTCAGCAAATTAAAGATGCTTGTAGAAAAAAATTTTTCTCGTACAAAGTTTTTACAATATTTAGGTATGTTTTGCGAATCATATTAAAAAATTACATATAATGATTTTATCATCTAAAGCTTTTTGGCAAGCTGAAAAATTTTCATTTTCATTTATTGCATTCTCTAGATGAGAAGAATTCATTAAAATTTGCCTAAGTTTTAGTATATTCGCAGTTGATACATATTATAATATGATTTCAATAAAACATTCCTTTATTATTTATACAAATGTCTATTTAAAAATGTTTATTAATAGTCACGAAATTTAAAAGCTTATCTTTAAATCAAAATTTATAAAAAATAATGTAATGGAAAAACAATTTAAATATTATTTTTAAAAATTATCTAGGAAAAAAATTCGATTAAAGATGATATATTATCATAAAGATTTGCTACAATATAAGTGATTTTCTTGGTATATATATTTTAGGATTTAAAATTAATATTTTTTTTTTATCTTTTGAACAAATGAAAATGAATTGAGCAATCCTGAATAAAAATAGTATTGAAAGAGTAATAATTGTAATAATTCTTTTTCGACATAGTTACGACGCTAAGTATGGCGAGAAGCAACAACAACGGTTGTGGACGCGGTTCCAAGCATACTGTCCGGCATTGCGCCGTTATGTCACGTGGTAAGGCAACGTTCCAGCAGCATGAATCGATTCGCGTTGTTAACGGAGGCAACGTCCAGCAACGTAGCAACGACGACAGTACCGGAAACAGCAATGGTATCGTCACCGGCAGCAATCATAGTCAAATAGAAGGTACAGCAGACTAGAATCATCCTCTTGGACGGACTCGGCGCACTTCACGATTAATGTGAGTATCTTCGCATTTATTATTGCTTTTTTTTTTTTATAACTTTGAAGAAATTTTGTATTAAATGGATTTCACAAAAAGAATTTAAATGAGTAAATTTTAACTTTCACTGAACGATAAAGTTTATTTGGACCAAAATACTAATCTGACTATTCTACATTTGACGACGTATGTTATTTGTTCAGAGTAATAACGAGATAAGCGTGCGTGAAAAAATCTATTTTTTATTAATATCTACCAATGTAGATTAATTTTAATCTTAATTTAATTTATCTTTTTCTACTTCTGAGAAATAAAAAAATAAAAAGTAAATTAAATTTAATTTTAAAACAGACAGATAATAAAAGAGCTTAGTTAGATGTTTGTTGCTAACAATTTAATCTTTAAAAAATAATAATAAAACAAACAGTTTTTTGATTAGTTATCGAGTCATTCTCAATGTGAACAAATGATTACAGTATAATACGTTAAAAATTGTTTCCTTTTTACAATTATTTCTTATGCATCTTGATGGTCACAGTCAGTATTGCGATGTAGCGTTTGTTAATTTTTTTACAATATTAGTTTTCTCACATTTGTGAATTCCTACAGTAACTTGTTATACACACTCACATTTCAATGGAAATCAAAAGGAAAATATAACAAGTCACTATAGAAATTCACAAAAGTAAAGAAACATCATATTGTAAAAACTCGACGAACGCTACATCGCAACACCGACTGTGATCATCACGTAAGAAATAATTGTAAAAAGCGGACGGAAACAATTTTTAACATATTATACTGTAATTATTTGTTCACATTGAGAATTATCCGATAACGAATCGAAACTATTTGTGTTTTATTATTATTTTTTAAAAATTAAATTGAATTGTTAGCAACAAACAATCTAGCTAAGCTCGTAACCCTTTTATTATTTGTCTATTTTAATTTTAATTATTTGTGCCCTGTCTATCTATTTTCTTATTTTAAAGTTAATCTATATTGATAGAAATAAACATAAGAGCGAGAAAAACATTTGGAATAAAAAGATTTCAAATAAATGAAGAATGAATCCAAATTGATTCAAATATTCACCATAGCTTGTGCGATTGGTGAAGTATAAAGCAAACGATATACTGTTTTATGTATTTGTAGATTTTACTTATTTATTATTAAACATATGCGTTGATTTATGATAGGGAAAAGGGACTTTTTCCTCCTCTCAAGGAAATACTTTAGAAAATCTGTTTTTTTAATCATGCATTTTCATCGCATAATTGAAAATTTTTAAAAAAATAATTAGTGATTCTATAAGAAGAGTAAGTTATTTCTCTATTCTTGCTAAAATGGTTATACATATAACGATATAATATAAAGCAAATGTAAATTACATATAAAGCTAAGAAGTAGTTATTTCTCAACTTGTAAATATTGTCTTAAAATTATCCTGTTCTTTATAATTATTTTTTCTAAGATAATTATAATTTAGATATTAATAATTATAATTATTATTTTTTCTAAGATAATTATAATCATAATATTATTAAGAACATATAAGATATTCTGAAATTAGAGAGAGAGCGAAATTTATGTTCAAAATACTATAGTAAGAAAGTGAAAAAAATATTATTTGTATGCTAAAGTATGTATTCATTAACGTTCATTAACGAAGGAATAATCACTTAATTAATGTAATCATGGAACAAGTCTTCGAAATTCATATGAAATTCCTATCCGATAATTGCATATGCAACCACGAGAAATCATTGTGTAATATTAGATAAAATCGTTTATTTTACCAAATGATTTCATATGTAGTGAAGAAAATCATATGTCAATCAGATAAAATTATACGAAATTAAATGAAATCTTATAATTTTTGGGACAATATTTCAGCTATAGCTCCTTCGCTCATTGAACTATGATCTAAACATAGTTGGCTATATTTAAATCTTTATTATCTAAAAAATTATTGCTTAAAATAAAAATTTACAAAAAACTTTTTTACTTAACTTTTAGAGAATTTTCTTGCTATTGTATTTCAAGTCGAATTTTGGAACATTTTATATTGTACATTATTATTGTACATTATTAAATAAAATAATAAAATGAATTAATTGATATAATTGTAAAATATATAATTGTAATCTACAAAAAAATTACAATTTGTAATGTGTGATTGTTTATATTTGGAAATGAATACTTTGTTTGAAACTTCCACGGGTAATTTCAAAGAAACTACGATGTATTTTGTAACTAAGTTACCTCCGTGTATTGATATATTATTAAATGTCTGTAATGATGTATGAATTCTTAGATCTGTACAAAAACGACTGTTGATAGAGAAAAAAGTTTGTTCGTTTAAAAAATATTAATAAATATTAATTTTTAAATGCATAGATTTGCCATTAACAAAATTAAATTTTCACGCATCGAATCTCTCGCAAATATTATAAATTATAAATTCATTCAAAAAAATTTTTGAAAATTTTTAAAAGAATATATAAAAAAAAACATTGACGTTCTCGAAACAGTTTCAAATAGGAAAAACAGTGACATTTTATATGCGGTAAAACCGTTTACATGCCTACACAGAAAATACTTTCGTAATATACATTGAGGACGTATTAAATATCACATTGCACTGGACACTCAAGAATATATTCTATAAAGGTTTAGTTGATACATAATCTGATTGATCTTTCAAATTGCAGTCGCGAACGATTAATTAACGTAAATGTTGAATGTTAGATTGGCACAACTATATTGTTACTACGCGAATTACTGTAGAGCAAACAAACGAAGAGAGGCACGAATAGAGAGGAACGTAAAGGGGAACGTGTCGCGCAGTTGTGCAAACAAATTCAGCTAATTAATCGGGAAGAGCGCGACTGTTCTGCAGTTGAACTGCCTACATTCGAGTTATAGCTTCTTCTCTTCGTCATTTTCCGCATGTTACTCGTTATTAGAGTGAGAAAAGAAGATATTCTATACTTCTCCATGGAAACATTAATAAGTGGCAAGTTACGTTCTGTCATAAGCAAATTTTATATATACAATATACACAGAGTGTCCCTGTATAAGTGACCACCCTTTTTATCTCTGTTATTAAATTAACAATGTAGACTTAATAAATATAATATCAAATTAAATGATTCTAACTAAATTCTATTATAAGCACTGTGACCACTTTAAAAAATTATCCTTTAAATTATACTTTAAATAATTTATGTTAAAGAATGAGAAAAGATAATTTTTATACGATAAAGTAAATATTTCGATATCATAAATTCTAATGTCCATTCTGACGAATACAACGATATATGATATAATAAAATTATTTTATAACAAAATATACAAATTACACAAGTTATTTTGGTCTGAAGTTTTGCGAGGATTACTATCTTTTCGGCCATGCGATGTGGCCAACTTCCAATTCTCCCATTAACGATTTGACATTTAATATGTTATCATCTGATTATACTTGTTAGAACGAATGCTATAATTTTTATTATCAAAATATTTATATATATATAAAATATTTTATGCATATTTCTTCATTTTGACATGGATAATTTTCTTAATGATCATTGTGCTCATAATAGAGTTAAGTTAGAAACGATTTAATTTGGTATTATATTTGTTAGGTCTATCTTTGTTAGTTCATGAAATAAAAACAGGTGATCACTTATACGGGACTATCCTGTATAAGTGTATATTGTGGTTTTTTATTTTCAACTGCCATTCGTATTTGTAGTTTCACTCATTCGAGTGAGAAAATATAATAATAAATAATTACTGCATATTAATTTGTTCGTTTTATATGCATTAATTTTTCAACGAGCTTCTAATGAAAATTAATGGAATTATTGGAAATTTATAGAAAATATCTGGAAAACGAAATTATTACTGTTATTATATTACAATTTTTATTAAGAGATTACGTTTAAGCTCAAAATTTTGTTGCATAATAATAATGGAAAATTATGCAATTGTGACATGAATATGTAATATTCAACTAATACTTTGTATGCATCAATATCATGTTATATAAAAGTATGTCATTTAAATTGCTTACTCGATATGTTAAAATTAATAATTAAGCTTAACAAATAAATTGTAGTTCGAGAGATGAATGTCCGTTTAAAATTATTTATGCAAGAATCCAAACCTTTGTTTATTTTTATCCATCTTCTTGATAGATATTGTAATATCTTTTTTTAGATATTCTGCGTTTTAAAGTCGAATTAGAATTGGACAGAAATGGTTTACTAAAATAATGCAACAAAATTTGAGCCTCTATTCTTATTACTCATCAAACATTGAAATTTTGTCGCTGTAGTTTGTTTATATTTCTGTTTTAGAGAACAAGAGAGTGAATGCATCTCGCAGGATGAATTCGTGCGCGCTCTACTTTTCCCAACTGCGGGCGATGCTCGTAAGAAATCTCCTGCTGAAAAAACGCGACACGCGGAAGACGTTTATGGTATGTTTTAAATTTAATATTTATTAATGCATTTAAAATTTTCTATCATTATAACAATTGGCGCATAATATCTCTTGCGTTAAGATTAATTATTTTCAGAATTCTTTAAAATAGACTTTAAAATAAAAACTCAAACATTTTGTCTTAGTCACTCGATGTGATTTTCATTTACTTGATAATTCTTGGAGAAATATGGTTAAATTAAAAATCGACACCTGTCTCAGAAAATATGTCGCGGACATGTGCCAAATGGATATTCGTGCCACAAATATGACATCACATGCAGAAATGTGTTGCCAACATCATTCTTGAAAATCTCTCCTCTAGAAAGCAATAATTATTATTGAAATCAATCGGGTCAAAGTAACGAATTTAAAAGCTCGCTAATCTGTGAAAAAAACGTTACAATTGATATTGTTTACACATTAATATGGAATCAACTTATATATATTATCTTCTAAAGACATAGAATGTCAATATCGAACATGCGACACTGTTTGTTGGGAAATTGTTTGTTGTACAATAAGAAATTTTATAGTTTAACGAAATGCGTCTAACTGGAATATATAAAGACTTTTATTTTATATATA